TCTGCAACTGGATCTTCTGCGGCAAGAGGTTCACCCGCTCCGACGAGCTGCAGCGGCACCTGCGTACACACACGGGGGAAAAACGCTTCGCCTGCCCCGTCTGCAACAAGCGCTTTATGCGCAGCGACCACCTGAGCAAGCACGTCAAGACTCACAGCGCAGGGGGAGGCGGAGGCCCCGGCACCGGGGGTCCAGGCTCAAGCATTGTTCTCTGGACACTCCGAGGCTTCAGTCACAGCTTGACCTCTTTCTGCTTCTGATGACACCATTTACCATAACAAAAGTGGCTTTTTCAAGGAATTAGCTAAAAAAGGGGGGAAAATGTGGGAGCCCACCCCCCTCCTGGCTGCAAGGAGATGAGAATGGACAGATTATCTGGATCTGAACTCCTGGGCCACAAGGGAAGAGGGGGGCCAGAATGGAGCAGGGAAACTGCAACCTTTTGTCTCCATCCCCTTCGCTATGCTAGACTTGCTTGATCCATATTTCAGACTCCATTGAGCTCCAGGCTTCATCATGCAATCCTAAAATATGCCAGTGAGCGCCCATGTTTGATTGTAGGTCACCAGACATTACTGCAATGGATAGCACCCTCACAAAGGCCTAAAGGTCCAGTACACTGGAGCACCCCTCAACTGGCAGCTGCTGTCACAGTTTTGTAGGTTGATTAGTGTGCTGGGATGTTTCAGCTAACAGGTAACCACGTGATGTGTTCATTGGGACTAAATAGTGGTATGTTTGTCGTTTTCTCTATGAAAGAAACAAAATCCTACGTGTTTGGAATGCATCCTTCCCAGTCATTTCACTGGAGGATCGGTCTGTAGGACCAAATGGGGTGTGCAGGTGTGAAGATTATTTACTAAAGAAGTTTGAAAGTCCATCAAAGACACCATTTTTTTTTCAGAGAGATGGGAAATATCGAATTAGATGGACTGTTGTTAATCTCTGCTTAGTAAATACAAAATAAGAAGTTACATGTGGAAGTGAAACTTCAAACTTCACAATTCTACAACATCCTCTAGATTACAATGAATTTTCCTGCACACATGAAACTCCAAAAATCCCACAATATCCTTTAAATAACATCTCATTTTCCTGCACAGGTGAAAACCCAAATTCTACAATATTGTTCTGATGACATGTAATGTTTCTGCACAGGTGAAACTCCCAAATCCTGTAATATTATTTAAATATTATCTGTTTTTTCCTGTACACCTGAAACCCCCCAAAATCTACAATAATCTTTACATATTATCTGATTTTGTTCTGCACACCTGAAAGCCCAAAATCTACAATATTCTTTTAAATAACGTCTAATTTTTCTGCACACCTGAAACCCCCCAAAAATCTACAATATTCTTTAAATATCATCTACTTTTTCTGCACACCTGAAACCCCAAAAATCCACAATATTCTTTAAATATCATCTAATTTTTCTGCACACCTGAAACCCCAAAAAATGTACAATATTCTTTAAATATCATCTAATTTTTCTGCACACCTGAAACCCCCAAAAATGTACAATGTTCTTTAAATATCATCTAATTTTTCTGCACACCTGAAACCCCAAAAATCCGAAATATTCTTTAAATAATATCTTATTTTTCTGCACACCTGAAACCCCCAACATCTACAATAATTTTTAAATAACATCTAATTTTCCTGCACAGGTAAACCACCCCAAATTCTACAATATTCTTTAAAAACATCTAATTTTTCTGCACACCTGAAACCCCCAAAAATCTACAATATGTTCTAGAAAACATTCTAAATTTCCCGCACTGGTAAATCTCTAAGTTCCAAAGTTCTAAAATAACCTCAAGATAAAATCTAATTTCCTGCCAAGGTGAAACTTTGTTTTCGGAATTCTATAATATCCTCTATGTAACATTTAATTTTCCTGTATAGGGGGAACCCCAACATTTTAAAATATCATCTAGATAAAATCTAATTTACCTGCATACATGAGCCCCCAAAATTCTCTAAAATCCTCTAGGTAACATGTCATTTTTCTGTATAGGTGGAACCCAAAAATTCTGAAATATCCTCTAGATGAAAATCTAATTTACCCGCATAGGTGAAACCCCAAATCTCTATAATATCCTCTAGGTTACATGTCATTTTTCTGTACAGGTGTAACCCCGATATTCTGAAAAATGCTCTAAATAAAAATGAATTTACCTGCATAGGTGAAACCCCAAATTTCTGTAATATCCTCTAGGTAACATGTCATTTTTCTGTATAGATTAAACCCCATAATTCTGCAATACCCTCTGGATACCATCCAATTTACCTGCATAGGTGAAACTCTAAAATTCTATAACATCCTCTAGATAACATCTAACTTTCCAGTACAGGTGTGGAAAAATAAATCTGCATTATCCTCTACATAAAATCTACTTCCAGTCCTCCACTTCACATTGGTAGTTTTAGAAATGCATCACTGAAATCACCAAGTCCCTTTAAACATGGTCACCGATTTGCTCACTTTAACCTCATGGCCAAAACCCTTCCCATAAACTCAATTCTATACAAGCAAGTCCTGGGGAATGTCATGCGGTTTTTCAAATCCCCCCCCCCCTATGGTGAGTAGAGGAGCTAAGTACTGAAGGCGATTTTTGTATAGTATTTTTCTTGTATATTAATGACAGTAAATATTTGAAGATATATAGGAGTACAATGGAGCTTCTTTTTTTTGTCACAAAAATATTGAGTTATTGTTGCAGGTCACTGCAGTCTTTTTATGATTAATATTATTATAAATATTTTGTTTCTTGAAGTGTACATCAAACAGAAAATGCACTTTGAGGATCTAGTTTTGCTTGAATATGACTTTAGATAGGTATAAACTGTAACTGAGAAATAAAAAAAAAAAGACACTATTTCATAAAATGTTCAATGACATCTAATTTAACTGAGCATGTACTTTTCGCTGGCAGTTCTGCTGTAGCTAAAAGTGAGAGTCCTTTATTTCATTACAAGTGGGTCAGGCAGACTTCAATCATGTATTAATAAACTGTCAGAGTGAAACTGAGCTGTCTTTGGGCTGTGTATTTCCTGCTTTTACCATCCACAAAAAAAATAATAATGTTCACCCCCGATTTTTTATTTTTTTTGCTAAATGTCTTTTGGCTACTGACCACACTACAGCCATAGTTTGCAAACTTTGCAGACTGTCTACTCCTTGTTGTAATGTTGAAATAATTTGAATATTTCACATTGAAATGGAAAAAAAAAACCTTTCACTGGGACGTTTAGATTGCATTCTAAATGCATGAGATGTAATTGGTTTTATTTGTAATATTTTAAATAATGGAATTAATAAACTCTGAAAAAATGGGGAATTCCTTATTTGTGTTTATTATTATTATTATTTAATTTCTATGTATTAGCCCTTTCGGAACTCATAATGATTTTGTAGGCTACCTGCCCCACTTATGTCCACTTGCTCCTCACATTATGGAGACAAGTCTGTATTTTTAATGTAGTGATGAGTTTGGTTCTCTCAACTGAGTGATGATCAGACTTTTGATCCCGACAACCCGAAAAACTATTAGCCTGTAACAGTGGAGCAGAACCTTGCACCCATTACTTGCACCAAGACTGTAACAGAGATTCCCCTTGATATATGTGCTCCAAGGTTATCTGCACGTCATAAATTTAAAGCTAAACTAGTTAGAGCCGTGCACATTTCAATGGGAAACATGACCTGTAATGTACAGGAGCTGATATTAATCCCGGGCTCACAATGAGTACATAGCCGGGGGCACTATCTGCTAAGCGGCGGTCTATCGGGGGCACTTAACACTTGTGGATTACAGGCGAGAAAAGATGATGGAAAGTTATTTTTTTCTTTGCAGATAATTTTTTGTCTTTTGCATAATAATTATAATTGGTTTTACAGTTATCACAGTGTATGCAAGTGCTCCTCTAGTTCACATAGCTGCTACTATGTATAAATATTGTGACACAATTATAAATAATAAAA